ATATATATATATATATATATATATATATATATATATATATATATATATATATATATATATATATATATATTAATAATAATGCGAATGCGATGCGACGCGGATGCGATGCAATGCAACACAACACAACGCGACACAACGCAACGCAACACAACACAGCACATCACAACCCAACACAACGCAGCACAATGCAGCACAACACAAGACAACACAACATGCGTTTTTTCAAAAAACGTTAATTATTAACATGATTATGAAATATGTAGTATCTAGACCTTGAAATGGTGTATATTTGATATCCTTCTGAAAATAAATTTCTTACACTTATGAACCGAAGTGGGGGCCTTTTGTATTTAGCTTAACCGTTGCATAAACTAATCCATGCATGCTACTTAATTATCCCCGTTGAACTACTCATGTATTCTTAATCGAGTCAGGCTTATTTGTAACAATTAAATCAAACATCGTTCATGATGTAGTTGTGACCTATGTCACCTCCTTCATAACATTGTGCATACTAAACAAATCGAAAATATTGAGTACTTTTCTCGTTTTTGTTGGTATTTTAGTGGACAATGTATTTTCATTAATATCAAGTTAATCGCTATTCGCATCTGTTTGCAAGCATATGTAGCTAGTTTTTTTCAGCCAAGCTTTCGTCAAAACATCATTCAACTTGTTGAAGAAACTGGGAAAGTCAAGCTCCAGCACCAAAAAAAAGCTAAGTTGAAATAATTGCATCACTGGTATAGTCATGAGAGATTGCTAGTAGCTGCATGAAGTGAATTTCAAGAAGAAATCAAGAGGATAGATAGTTTTAAGAAAAAGTGCAGAGATTAACGGCTTATTGATTGAGCGTGAGGTCTGTAATGTGAAATATCAGACCGAGGTTTTTTAGTATGGACCGAGCGACGAAGGAGCGAAGCCCATGCAAAAAACCGAGGTCTGATTATAGTACAGACCGAACAAACGAGGTCAATAATCGGTTTATTATATGGCTTAACTGAGTCTGTGAGCATATGCTTTTCGCGCGAATTAAATCGGCTATCGTCAGTTTCACTGGGTAACAATATACCGTAGGCATGCATGCTCAATCAGAAACAATTTGGTTGTTTGAAATTTTTATCTGTACATTTTAATGACACACAATTGGAAAATAAAAAAGCAAAATTTTTTTCTATTTGGAAAGCAACAATTTCCCGCCACATAAACGACATCCGGGACACCGGTCCAGATACGGAAAATACGGACCACGGTCCTGGTATGGGTTTTTACGGACCGCTTGTTAACCAATCAGAATAGAGAACTTTGAAAAGCCATATAATAAAAAGGTTTACAACACTCATGCAGGGTCATTTGGATTGGAAGACTCCAAGATTGACTGAGGAATTAGCCTGTGACGACATTAGAGGATGGTAGAAGCAGGGAATATTTTTCAGGCGTTCATAACAAAATGCAATTAACCCTAAAGTAAGTCACATTTGGGCAGAATCTGGGTAAACAAATGTAGAAAATTGGATGAAACAGTTATCCATTTAGATTGTTAATTAAGATAAAACATGATATAATAGCGCTGGGATCACTTTGGAAAATAGGTAGACAATATTAATTTTAGTGCACAACTAGTGTATCTGATATGAGCATGCATGTAGACCAGATGTAATATATTGGAAAAGGCAAAGTTTAACATTTTGGAGAATTTCCTATTCAGGCAGAACATATTACTAATAGCTAGAAGATGAGCTATTGTGGTTGTGGATAAAAGCTCATGAAGTTAATTATATATGAGATCGTTAACGTTGCACTCCGAGGTAAAAGTTGTAGAGATGAAACAGCAAAAAAAATTACATCACAATCTTGCAGAATATTCAAACAGTATGGACAATGATAACTGGAATGGTATATCGATATGGATGAACTCGTTTTGGGTACGGTTTTGTGAATGCTTTTCAAATGAGAAAGGTAGCATTCTTTGGTATATTCTTTAGAGAGATCCTTGAAATCTAAAGAAACGTTTTGTTAACCTCCCGTATTTCAGGTTATTCGACTGCAGTAGAAACTCGGGTTTAGATTTAATAAATATGATGATAGTGTACCTTAGTAGCTACTTACTTCTTTGACAATATTTTACAATAGCTTAATCGAGAATGTGCAGATGATTGTTAATGGTCAATGATGGTATTTCCACGTTACATGGACTTGTTAATTAAAATATAACTTCCACTAATGTTTAGCCTGTTCTTAGTGGTGTGACACGAGGTATTTCAAACGATGTTATATTTACTCCATGTTAGTGCAGTAATAGCAATTAAAAATGGATTAAACTACTCCGATAATGCGTCACATGTTGTACTTCAGCTCCTCAGAAGAATAGATGACACTGTCCTTCAAGATATCGCATAATAATTGTTGTGGCAAACCGATAAAGTATGCTGGATTCAGAAAATTTTGTGAAGGTCTTCCTGGATTGTGATTTGACATATCTTGTATATTGAATTGTGCTTGCAACTTCATCTATATAATTAATACTAAACTTTGCTTACGAATATTATTTGGATTTCGTTAAATCTATATTTAATTTATTTTAACATTGAACCAAAAGATATACTATGCTTCTCTGCATGTGTATGGTCACAGAGAAGCTTGCATCGCTTATAGTGAGCATTCACTCGTACTTTTCATTACAGTGGGAATAGGCAATGCAATGGCAATATAGTGAAAGCATGCACAACCATTATCATTCAGCATTGAAATTTTGTATCATGACGAGACAACCACATGTCATGTTAGATGCATGCTCACAAATATACGATACTTTTCCTTACTTATACTCTTCAGGTTCTTCTTCAACTTGCTCTGGCCAATTGATTAGCTGAAAAAGTGAAACAATATTTATCTATTAAACGAAATTGACGTTTTGATGCAATAGTGTGATGCCCACAAACATAATTGGATCAAGATATAAAGTTGCGTATGAATTGCACTTTCCAATGTGTTTTATATATGTTTAATTTTCTTCGTACTCACTCCTATTCTTCGAAAATAGATGGAAATAGCATTCATAATTTCGTTCACGGCTAGAATAAATCGTCGATATTCACACATTTTGCAGCAAACCACCGTTGAATTATATTGTATTCCCCAGGACCCCGGGTCAGTAAAAGAAATGAAAGTAAGCTGCGTTAGTAACAGAGGCCTGGGAACCAGTATGACATTCATGGGATATAGTTTTATACAGTTAGATCATGTTAGTACTGCAGTGAGTTTTAACATGAGATCTTGCTGGTTAATTTTTCAATATCAAAAAATCTTCCAATGGATTTTAATGCTAAAAGGAATCATGCATAGAGAATGAAGCATATAGTACCCAAGGGTCATAAATGTCGCCCATGTAGTTTTGTTGTTCATATTTACATATAGTTTTTAATCAATATATAGTAAGTAGGGGCAAGGTGGGCAAAGGTGCCCTTTTAATTTAAAGGATTGCCTTGGCGAAATAGCGAATTGTCAGAAATGATAGTGCAATTCTTTTACGAATTTGCTTCTGAAAACGCAAGAAAGTGCAGTCATCGAGCTTCAAGAATAGCGCAATCGCCTGGCGGAGAACCCCCTCGCACCACTATCATCCAATAAATAGAAAACATGATTAGGCCATATTCAATTGGAGATGTTTTGCAAACATCTCTTAGTATATATCAATTCAAAAGTGCCCTTTTACGAAAATCTGCCCCCCTTGCCTTCACATCGTTCCGCCGTCCTAGCTTGCTTATTAATTACATTTTCTTATAATCAGCAATGCTGTCAAAAGCTGCGTGGAAGTGGTTAGAAGCTGAGTAACTCTTTTAAGTTTGATTAGACAGTATTATTGGATAGAAATGATTTTGATTTGGACAAGGACATATCTGGATATAATTTGTCGTATCCAAGCCGTATTCCTATAAAACATGACGAGTACCAAAAGATGCATGTAGAATTGCACTAATGTTATAGTAGATGCAACAATGTGATTAATGTTTCCCAGAGATTCATATTTACTTCCTGTAATCGATATACGATATATACTTGGGCAATTAAGCTAGTAAGTTTTATTTCGCGACCTTATTCATTATATATGACCTTAAATAAATTAATCATCACTGACATCAATCAATCACCGAAAATTATAAGGCCCTGAATTTGCTTTATATTATCTTATATTATATTATAGGTCTATATATGTATATTAAATTATAAGTAAAAACAATTATTATCCAGAATTACGAGTAATACATGGCTATTGATTTTTTACACTTGTGATCTTTTCCTCATTTATAGACATGCAGGACGTTTATTCCGTCAAGTATAATAGTCCTTAAATTAAAAGTATTTACAATAATATTGATTTTATTGTCACATGAATAGATTGGCATTGATATAAAGTATGGCGGAAACTCTATGTTGCAAACGCGTCAACTTTATTAGCCATTCGCGAAATATTTTTAATAATAGGGCTTACGAGTTGTAGAAATGAAGCATTCTGCCATGCCAGCTATATGTAGAGTTACTTATAGGCTATTGCGGCATGAAAATACCCATAAATAATTATGTCATCAGCCGATCTTCCTGCATGTTATTATCAAAAATCTAAGAAAGCCGTTTATGAATTAAACACAAGAGAGGTAAATTTATTTCTTTACCTACATGAACTGGCGCAGACAGTTCACCGTCACAAATTTATTAGACCGCATGTATTATTTTTATGTCATTAAAAATCAACTGATAAAAGTATTTAAAACAAACCTCTTGTCCCTGTACATTAATTCTGCAGCTTAGGAGACAATCAATTTACTGAGGCATTTAATTGGAAGCATCTACTGCCCTGTTTCTGTCCAATATTCAGCTTTGTCTTTGGTTTCCATTATCAAACTTTCCAACTTTTATGCGGACAACTCGCAGCTGATAGCTATAGCCTTTCAACTGGAGATTTGACTGACATGACTTGGACTGAAAATGTAGATTGCACAACTCTCGCTACATTCTACACCCTGAGACAAGTATCGGCATATCCCAGTTAAATCCCGCAGTACGTTTAATTAAAATCATTCGTAAACAAATAATGTCTGCATGGTGAATAATCATTCAAATATGCAGGCATTTAAATTTTTCTCAATTTTTCCTTGTATAACACATCGTGTATATACATAATAGAACTACTTAAATTTGAACATCAACCCTTATATTTTGCTTGTGCCTGGCTATCTGATATTATCATTGCTGCCTTTGCTTTTAGCAAAGATTGCGAATGAAATCGAGATCAGCAGGTTGCATGCATGCTTAGTCTTATTTTCCGACAAGTCCAAACATGTTATAAATGTGTCTCATTTGACAAATAAGCAACAATTTTAATGCTTCCGCGGTTGATATAGACAATTGAGAAGATTCATGTAAACTGTTGTCGTTTCCATCGCAACAGTCTGTATGAATGAAATATACAATTTCATTTAAAATTTATGTAATTTAATTATTGAAGTGTTGCTTACTGAAATGAAATATATACATAATATGAACTGTAGTATAACAGGCCTATGCAGATATTAAGCTAAATATACTTTTAAATATTCTATATCGATACTTATCGATACTTATCGATACTTAACTTATACGGATACTCCCTCCTTGATTATGATTACAGAGTCCTGGCTGAATACAAATATACCCGACTCTGCTATAAATATTGGAAGAATGTTCAATACCTATCGGCGGGACCGACTTACACCAGGAGGGGGTGTATTAGCATATGTGAACGCTTGTATA